TTACTTCCCAATTATCTCCAGGATAGAGGGGAGGGATTGTAATGTACTGTGGGAGTGTTTTAACCCTGTATGCCTGTGATTGGTCATTTTACCATTTGTGTCCCAGTCTTCCATCTGGTCCCCTAGGGGAGTGTCTACCAGGTGGAAGACCTGCATAAATACCGGGCAGGTAGCCCATATTAAACCAGACCACTGCTTGACCCTGAACACACCAGCCTTGTCTTGTTCTTGGGGGGGATTTACTGTATGCTGTTAGAGACTGATTGCCAGGAGTGTAAGCCGCTTGGGTGCTTTTCCTGTTCGTCTGCTAGCAGCTATTCGTGAGTTAATAGTTTGGGTGTTTGGAGTGCTACTTTCTATGCAGTTCGGAGCATTCCCTTGTATTCAGTTCCGGTGTTTGGTGTTCTGCAGTAGCTGTGCCTGTATCTCTGGAAGGGGAAGATCGACTAAACGGCTTTTAACCCCTTTTATGCCCGGGGTGCCGTTACAGCTCCTTCACAATGACACAGACTCTCGGTTTAGAGATTTAAAAGGAGTCATCCTTCTACCCTGAGCTTCTTGGCACAGCATACACCTTACTAATTATGTTATGTTTTGTTTTATGTTTAGTCTACTAATTAATTTTTGCTTAAGGCGCAAGATAGGCATTTACCCTACAGCCCTAGTTTAAACTGCATCGCATGAAGCTTTATATACTAGCCTCTCAACTTGTTAATCTCACTGTTATGCTTCTGAGGCGAAAATGGCACACTAGGCGCAAAATACATATGTATAACCAAAAGCACAACTATTACAATAAGCGACCCTACCCCAGCAGGTCTTACCATATAAGCGAACCATTTCACATGAAACAGGTACACAGGCATTAGCTAAACAAATCACTAGCGCTGTACCGCACTACCTGTATTATATATATTGGTACTAGTACAGCTCACGCATGAACCAACCCTGTTTGCAAAACATATATACTTACATGTAAATCGATGATTTAATGTTATGTTAATTGAGCCTGATAAAATATAAAAATTGTGCTAGTTAATCGTACACCCCGCATGTTAAGCGTGGGAAACACCTGAGGACTGCTTTCGGGGCACCTCAAGCATGCCTGTATTATATACGTGCACTACACACAAAAAAGGTAAGGCATGTAGAAGAGTATAAAGGTCTTGCTGATTGCCTTAATGAATATTTCTGTTCAGTATTTACAGATGAAAATGAAGGAAAGGGGCCTCAGTTGGGAAAAAGGACAAATGAGTAATTTGTTACATTTGAGTTTACAGAGGAAGAGGTTCTGTTTCAACTGTCAAAAGTAAAGACAAATACGTCAATGGGACCTGATGGAATACAGTTATTAAAAGAGCTTAGTGGTGTACTAGAAAAACATAGCTGTGATGTTTTGTACAAATCAGTCAATAATTCCTGTAAAACTAAGTACTCACTTTATTAAAACATATATAAAAGGATCTTCATATTGCTGCCTTGTTACACAGGGTTTCTGCAGCCACCATTACAAATCCTTAGAACATTCCACAAACTACCAACAGGAACAGGAACTAAAGAACCAAATGAAAGGAAGTGCATCATTTACAGCCAACAACAGCCCAACTGCCCATACATCACAATACATACACTCATACACACACTCATACACAGCCCAACAGTCCATTCATCACACTAGCAAAACCATTATCGGATTTATTTAACCTATCATTGTAAACAGGAGTAGTCCCAGAAGATTGGAAATTAGCGAATGTTGTACCCATTCACAAGAAAAGTAGTAGAGAGGAGTCGGGCAACTATAGGCCAGTAAGCCTTACTTCAGTAGTTGGGAAAGTGATGGAAACCACATGGATTTCAAGATCAGAGACAATATGGGTTTACTTTAGGAAGATCATGCCGAACTAATCTTATTGAAATTTTTGATTGGGTAACTAAAATAATAGATCAGGGTGGTGCAGTAGATATTGCTTACCTAGATTTCAGTAAGGCTTTTGACACTGTTCCACATAGAAGGCTCATCAATAAACTGCAATCTTTAAGTTTGGATTCCTTTATTGTTGAATGGGTTAGGCAGTGGCTAAATGACAGGCAACAGAGGGTTGTAGTTAACGGAGTATATTTGAAGCAAGGTCTAGTTACCAGTGGGATACCTCAGGGTCTGTACTTGGAACCATTCTCTTTAATATGTTTATTAGTGATATTGCAGAAGGTCTTTGTAACAGACCTCTCTGTCTTTGAATTACTTTTCCCCTTAGTTCGTCTGTTCTGTTATTTCCCTGTCCGTACAGTCCCTACGCCTCATTCCCCTTTTTACCTAAAGACTTGCCGAATGGCCGGCCACCCAGCATGGAAGTATGCTGCTTGTTAACCTCTTGGCCTTATTAGAACGTTGTGGTTAACCGCAGACACTTCCTAATTGTCAAATGTCGGCTGGGTGTTCGTTGTTCGTATGAACGAACACGTGGTGGCGGCCATCTTGGACATAAAAATTCCCAGCGGTGTTCGTCGACAATTTCATGGAACTAAAAATGGACACTATTTTCATACACACCGCTGAAGCCGCCCACCTCCCTTCATCTGGTCTTCCATTCATACGAACGCTGGACCGTTTGGTACTTTTCATATGAACAGAGTCACCCCTGATATCTATCCCATGGAGCCCATTCGTATAACAAAAGAATATGTGAAAGACTTTAGCTCCATTGCGATTGAACTGTATGTATGGGATCTGAGCACTATTTGGTAATATTGTGCAATCAGATCCAAGCTATCTGGGGATATGTTGGATGTGGGGATTCTGTTCGGGAGTTTTAGAATTGTGTATTTTCGTGTATTTTTATTAGCCTGTAAAAAATGGAGGTTGTGCTCTATCCTTGGAGATAATTGAGTTACTCCCCAATTATCTCCAGGATAGAGAGGAGGGTACATATTGTCCAAAGGGGAGTGTAACAGATCACCTGGCACCCCCGTTGATGGATGCTCCTAGCGCTTCTTGAGGATTCCAAGCACTTTAGCTGACACCACAACCACCGCAGGACGAACCTCTCTTCCTTCAGAGCGAAGCAGGAACAAGCTCTTAAAAGAGCTTAGGAGTGATTATAGCAAAGGAATATGCAGGGCATAGCAATCCCTTGTAGCAGATTCCCCCAATAAGAGACAGGATTCCAAATGGAGGATGAAGTAGATCTGACTAAAACTTTATTTTATTTGGGACTAGCCCATATGGTCATTACATTAACATTGCTGTGAAAACTTAATAAAATTACAAACAGTCATATCATAGCAGGCAACATACAGTGACTTATAACATAATTATATATTTATAAATGGGTGGGGAAGACCATAATTAACACAAAATGTCTCTCCTGCATGCAGAATTAGCGATATGCAAATCTACCCAAATATGCAAATTACCAGTCTTGCTATTCAGGTAGTGCATATTACTGTTGCTACCAACAGAGGGCACTACACAAGCTCCATAGCCAAATCCACCTAGTTGGTAGCAATCCTCAGCAGTACAGGAGAGCAGGCAATACATCCCAGGGGCCATAGTCACATGGCAGGAGGTCTTCTCCAATGCCCAGTGGAAAGGCTGGTTCTGCCACAGGGAGTGTTGATTGGTCACTGTACAATTTGTGTCTCCGTTTTCCACCAGGTCCCCTAGGGGAGTGTCCACCTGTTGGGAGACCTGCATAAAAGCCGGGCTGGTAGCCCCATTAACCTAGGTTCCTGTCTGACCCTCAATACAGAGCCTCATCTGGATTTATTCGTATGGTTTTCCTGTTTGGAGTGTGGATGATCAGTATACTTTCTATACGCCCTTTAACTGTGTGGTACAAAGAATGGGTACATTTGAAATGGCACTTCGGATACAGCCGAAGTAGTCGAAGTGGCCGCCAGTTCGGGACTTCGACACGTGTTCGCGGCCATTTTAATGCCGAACAGCAGTGTTTTGCCGTTGAGTGTCTGGAACTAAAATCGGACACTCGAGTAGACCTCCAGACCTCCATAGATTCGTATTGAAACTACCGAACGGCCTGCCGTTCTGTAGAAGGACTAAGCTTACTATAGGGATTCATATGAACTTAAATTCATCAATGGATGGCAAGCAATTCGGGACTTTTTAGAAATGAACAGAGACCGACCGCAAGGCCAAAAGTTATGGAACTGTTTTCGGCTGTTTTGCCTGTGCGGTCGGTCAAAACTTTAAAGTCCCATAACTCACAAACTACTGAACCGAATGGGCTGATTTTTTTTTTTTTATATATGTTGGTCCCCCAGAATAGGGCTATCTGGGGACACCAGATTATTTGGGGTACCACAGGTATTTGGGGTACATCCAAAACTTGCGTAAAAATGTGTCCATGTTAAATGTTTGTTATTGGTTACTGTACTAATTATGTAGGTGTCTCCCTTGCATGGGCAGAATCTCATAAAAGGAAAGTGCTTGTCAGTAAAACTCTGTTCCAGCATTAAGCCTTGGCTCATGTGTGGATTATTTGACGATTCTAGCAGTATTTATTCCTGCGGATTATTGGGAATATTATTTTATGGGAAGAAAGGAATGTTTGACAGAGTAACGGATTGTACCGTCACAGAAAGTATGCTGCATTTAAAAATTTATTTGAAGCAGATGGGGAGATTGTCGGGTACCTTGCCGATTTTGAACGGCAATGTGCCCTACACCGGGTACCCATGGATGAATGGGTCACCATTTTGTCCGTAAAACTGTCCGGTCAGGCCAGTGAAGCTTTCCGGGCCATCCCAGACGAAGACATTACGGATTATGGATTAGTAAAAGAAGCCCTGCTGGACAGGTATGCCTTCACACCAGAGGCATACCGTAGGCGATTCCAGGACACCACAAAACAAGGTGGAGATTCCTACTCCGAGTGGGCATGCTGCTTACATCGCACGGCAGCCCACTGGGTCACTGGATGCCTGGCGGTATCTGGAGAAGACTTACTGCAGCTGTTCCTGCTGGAGCACTTCTACTACAAGCTGACCACGGGGGTCAGAGAGTGGGTCCGTGAGCGGAAACCCCTCACCCTGCCTGAAGCAGTTCGCCTGGTGGACGAGTACACCGACGCCCGCAAGCTAGATACCCTGGGGGCCAAGACAACATCCCGTATGGACTACAGACCAGTGACACCTCCTCTAGCTGCCACGCCACAGTCATACCGTTCCACAGCACCAGCTTCCACTCACTCACAGCAGCCCAGGTTCAACGCACAGAACTATTCTCAACCCATGAGGTGTTTCGGTTGTGACCAGATCGAACACGAAAGCAGGACTGCTCATTGAATCCAGCCAGACAGTCCCAGTCCTGGAGAAAGCCAGCAATGGGGAACCCCCGGGCACCGCCTGCTGCCCACTGCATTGAAGAGGAGGAGCACTGGGGCACCCTGCATGAAGCTGACCCGGTCCAAGCAGCTAACAGACTGTCCGGGTAAATGGAAAAGTGGCCAGTGGCCTGCGAGATATTGGCGCCACCTTGAGCCTGCTACAAAAGCACCTTATCCCAGAGTGCCAACACAGCAGGGAAACTGTAGCCGTCAGGGTAGCTGGAGGCACCATATACTGGCTACCCACTGCCCACGTTCTCTTGGATTGGGGAGTTGGTTTGTGACTTGTGAACGTGGGGATTATGAAAGACTTGCCAGCGGATGTACTCCTTGGGAACGATTTGGCCCCTCTTGTTTCAGCATACGCCCCGTTGGGCCCCGCTGAAGCCAATCCTGTGACCACATGTGCTGCTGGAACCGGCCCACCTGCTGCAGAGACCCAGGTAAGACCCTGTACCCCGACAGTTAACCTAGACCAGGCCCCCCTAGACTCGGATACCCCAGAGGCATTCAAAAGGGAAACCTGGGAAGACCTGACCCTACAGAAGTACAGGTCCAAGGCAGACACCCAGGAGAGGGTGGGGGATAAACTGTTCAGGATCCCCAAGGCGTCCCTGAGAAGTAATGCCCCTTCACAGAAAAGACAGCTGGTAGTGCCCAAGAAATACCAGCTGTAAATTCTGCGAATTGGGCATGATGTCCTCCTTGCGCGACATCTAGGAGTACGTGGCACAGCCCATAGGATTACACAGAATTTCTTCTGGCCTAGTTTTAATAGGGACGTGCGACAGTACTGTAAAACTTGTGACACATGTCAACGGGTAGGGAAGTGGGGGGACCACCCTAAGGCCAGGCTTATGTCCATGCTTATTATTGGGGATCCCTTTTACCGCATAGCCGCTGACATTGTGGGTCCCTTGGCCAGGGCTAGTCCATCCGGGAAGAAGTATATTCTCACCGTGGTGGACTATGCCACACGTTACCCAGAGCCAGTAGCTATGTCCAATATTGAAGCAGAGACAGTAGCTGATGCTCTGGTTAAGATATTTACCAGAGTTGGGTTCCCTCCGAGGACACTGGGAGAGAGAGCAGGAGGGGACCCCCATAGTACCATATGTTCTGGAACTCCGGGACCGCATGGAGCAACTGTCTCTGATGGTAAGAGAGAACCTCCAGATGGCCCAGGTGAGACAGAAGAGATGGTGCGATCGGGGTACCCGACAGCGTGTCTTCCAGGTTCCTAGTGCTCAAGCCTGTGAAGACCAACAAGATGCAGGCATCTTGGCAGGGCCCGTATAGGTCTGTGATACTTCCTATGTTATTGCCAGCTGTGCAGATGAAAAGATTCAGTGATCCTTTCATGTGAACATGCTGAAGGAATATCAGGAAAGGCAGGAAGACATCGCTGCAGTTTGTGCCCCTGCTGCAGACGACTCTGAAAGCTTACCCCTACCCGACTTATTAGAGAGGGACCCCCAGAATGACATTACTAGCCTTGTACAGCTAGGGGACCGGTTAAGCCCCCCGGAGAAGGAACAGACTAAGCGGTTTCTGTGTGAGAAACAGGCGACTTTCTCTCAAGAACCGGGCTATACGACCCTCGCTGTACATAAGGTAGAGACCCCTGGACAAGCACCCCTCCGACAGCCTCCCTACCATATCCCTGAAGCCGTCCGAGAAGGAATGCGGAAGAAGATACAGGAGATGACTCCGTTAGGAGTCATTGAGCCCTCTGACAGCCCCTGGGCCTCTCCTGTAGTCCTAGTACCTAAGAAAGACTGAACCACACGGTTTTGCGTGGACTACAGGCGACTCAATGAGTAGACCACCACTGACGCCTGCCCGATGCCCCGGATAGACAAACTCCTGGATCGCAAAGCCAGGGGATGCTACTTAACTACCATAGACCTGTGTTAAGTCTATTGGCAGATTCACCTGGCCGAGGATGCTGTCCCCAAGTCGGCATTTGTCACCCTGACTGGCCTGTACCAATTTAAGTAAAAATAGAAAATGAATCCAAGCTTGATAAAGACCCTTAGGGGTTGAAACGTCTCTTTGTAGCTGCTGGTTCCAATAAATTGCCTTTTTCTTGGAATTCATTTGGAATGCCTGGATTCATTTTCTATTTTTACTATTATATTTGGTCCATTTTGGTACTGGGACATATCCAGTAAAGCACCCTGGATTCCTGGGCAAGGGGTGGAGTGCACTTCCATCAATTTTCTACATGTACCAATTTAAGGTCATGATGAAAAATGCCCCAGCTACTTTCCAACGTATGGTGGATAGGCTCATCGATGGCTTCCAGAATTTTGCATGTGCATACCTGGATGACATTGCGATCCACAGTGGGCCTTGGGAAGAACACCTGGTTCATGTAGGAGTGGTTCTGGACAAGATTCGAGCCGCAGGCCTGACCTTGAAGCCAGATAAGTGCCATCTAGGTATAGCTGAAGTACAGTATCTGGGTCACAGAGTAGGGTGTGGGAACCAGAGACCAGAGCCAGCCAAGATAGAGGCGGTAGCCAACTGGCCCACACCCCATACTAAGACCCAGGTGCTAGCCTTCTTGGGGACTGCAGGGTACAATAGACGTTTTGTCCCCGACTACAGTACTATAGCCAAGCCCCTGACTGACTTGACTAAGAATAATCTCCCTAGGCAGGTCCTGTGGTCTCCAGTTTGTGACGTCGTGTTTGAAGCCCTCAAGCAAGAACTTGTTAATGCCCCTGTCTTGGCTGCCCCCATATCTAACAAACGTTTCCTTGTCCACACAGATGCTTCCATGTTTGGACTGGGGGCTGTGCTGAGCCAAGTCGGGGAGGATGTCGGAGAGCACTGTTACGGTTGCCTCCAGGCTAGCATGAAGTTGGACCATTTTGGATATCCTGGTTCCCGAACTTGGAGATCAGCATACAATGGTATTCCTGTAAATGTAGAACATCCCACTAGCTATAGCAAAGCTAGGATACACATTTCTTTACAACACGAGTCAAGGCTGCAAGTTGAGGGTAAAACTAACTGCTTTAATGGCACTCATGCACGGTGATTTATACAAGTTATCAGGCCAGAGGACAACCCCTCTGGACCTGATGGTACACTGGAAAATGCAATGTCCCAACCAATAAGAGAAACGTGCATCTTTTGTAAACACTCCCCCCTGTCCTGGAGATAATTGGTTTCAACGGTTACACTAAGCTAATTATCTGCAGGTGCATGAAAATACCACGTTTTATTTCCCACATAAAAATAACATAAAGGGGGCGGAGCCTGATTGGGGCCGGGAGAGTGGAACCCCAAGTGCGGCCTAGTAGGACTGGAGCCGGGGAGAGGCGGCCGCTTTCCCCGACACTGGAGCCCCCAAACGAATATGCTAGCATCCTACCCCCCCATTTGGACCGGTGGGGGATATCCCGGTCCCAAATGGATGAACTGACCAGGCCTGGGGACGGATTTACAGGCTACACCGTCTGCAGGGGCACTGAACGGCCGAGCGCAGTCAAGATGGCTCCTCAGAAAAGGCCCAAGACGCAGAGCCCAACACATCCCCTGGAGGCTTTTGACCGGATCTGCAGGGGCTTTTGGACAGCACTTTGCGGGCGTGGAATGGCCTACCATCTAGCCATAAAAGTGGTAAAAGCGGTGGCTACATGTATACGCCCCACAACTCGCCGCCGCCAATATGTGTTCCTACCTCTTGCCACCAGAGCAGCCATCCGGCTGCGTAGATGCCAAATATCTTCATGGCGCACCCACTCGCTCCCACACTCGCAGGAGCCGCTTCATCGAGCGAGCACTGCAAACAAGCAACTCACCTGTCCCAAAAGTCTGATCGGCGAAGCACCACTCTACCGACCCAAATTCAAGCTGCAAGCTGCGATGCTGCCCACAGGTACACCTGGCGGATCACTGCTGGAGCTACATCTCAGCCTTGGAACATCAATGAAGGGGCCTCCAAAGACATCGCCCGAGACATCCCCGCACTGGGTATAGGCTGAGGCGCCCACTGCTATGCCTCACAGCGGGCATACCTTACTAAGCATCCTGGGGGGCACGGTTGCGGCTGCCGCTGACCTGACTGTGTTTTCCAAGTGATTAATGTCTGCCCATTTACTTAGCCTGGAGCAACCCTCCATTCGGCAGTTTTACGATTGCACATGCAACTAGCTCTAAGCACTGCCGCAGTTCCTTAACCTTTCTATGTCAGTTTACTTTTGTTGACACTTGCTTCCAGTGTTTTTGCATCTTATTAGCAATTGATAATGCACAGGAGTCTATATGCTTAAATAGACTTGCGAGGATACCCTGCGGTATAACTATGCTCCCTCAGCTTGTTGACCTCCACGGTTACTGGAATAGCCGGTAATCCTATTACTAAATGCTGAAACTCGTAGGCTTGTTGTGTAACCATGTTTTTTCACCATTAACATACAATGATGTATATTCATGCCATATCACACTTATAATGCCTGCTATCATAGCTTAGCATGTCTACACTATTATGTTTCTTACCTGCAAAGCCCAGAATGGCGTAATCGTTACCTACTCTCACACACAAGCTATACCTGGCATGACATAATCGGCTCTAACATTGCTACACAATACTTAGAAGTGTCTAACCAATTGGCTGAGTCTAAGGTACAGTATGCAACATCACCCGTAATGTTTTATCTTTATGCTTTATTCTTAATTTTACTTAAAAAAATTGTGCATTGGTTAATCGCTCCCCACTGTATCTGTTGTCTTTGAAAGCATTGAGTGGAATGCCGTTGGGATACCACAAGCTTTTTTTGTTCCAACCAAATGCACTACAAAAATAAAGATTAAAAAAAACAAAACAACAAATACATAACGTTTATATATTTTATTTTCAATTTGACTTTTATTGAAAATTTTACTGTGAAACATCTTTACCATAGTATGGGTAGTAGATTTATGCACTGACGTATTAACACAATTTAACTATATATGATATAGGTAACATTTGCCTATAAGAACTGGTAGGTTGAGTATGTCATAGAAAACATTATTGCATAGGGAAACAATATGTATGGGCGATGCGGAACATGGGATAACAAAGATGCATGAAAACGGTTTTAGTGTGCAGTCAAGAAGTTTTGTGTCTGCGCTTCCCACTATCGCCATTACTGAACGTATCATGTTGGAGTGGCAGGGCCTGGGCAACTGTGGGAGCTTGAGGAGGTTCAACGGGTGTAAGGAAACCAAGTACATTTAAACCTTAATCGGTAGTTTCCTCCCGAACAGCCAGAGCCCAGTGAATATAGCCCTCCGTTCGGTAGTTATGGTAGACGAATTCCCAATTGTAAAATCCTATAGTGTTCCTGGATAATTCCCACAGTAAAACACACGAACTCCCAAACAGCATACGTAGTCAGAATAAGGGTACAAAGATAAGCTGAAGGTTTAATGACAGGCATGCTCTTTTTATGGAATTCAGCCCATGCAAGGGAGCCTCCCATATAATTAGCCATACATCCAATCCTAACAATATACATACTGTACATCTCCTCCCTTCAGATAACCATTAAACACAATTTAAACGTAACAGAAATTCCTCAAAGTTTGGATGTACCTCAAAGACTTGGTGTCCCCAGATAGCTATTGTCTGGGGGACCAACATATTAAAAACTCAGTCCATTCGGTTCAGCCGTTCGGGAGATATGGGACTTAGAAGTTTTGACTGACTGCACGGGCAAAGTAGCCGAAAACAGTTCCATGAATTCTGGCCCTGCAGTCGGTCTTAGGTCGCATGAAAAACCTCCCGAACGGCCGGCTATCCAGCTACCATCCTTGGTTCACTTGATTCCCCGTCCGTTAGTAAGTCTTTCTACCGAACGCTCGGTCGTTTGGAAGGGGGTTTACCGAAGGGCTGGAGGCTTCAGCGGTGTTCGCCTGTTTGAGTGTCCTTTTTCAGTTCCAGACATTCAACGGCAAACACCGCTGTTCGGGAGCTAAAATGGCCGCGAACATGTGGAAGTCCCGAAATGGCGGCGAGACCTGCCGTTCGTGCAGAACTTCTGTCGAACGTAATCCAGCCAGCAAGGGGGTACAGTCTGTATAATAGGTAACAGGGTGGTCTGCATTTGGTAGTTTTACCTACCGAATGACATAGGGAAACATTACTATTAAACAAATACAAGGAGTCAATTTACAGTATAAGAGGGGCATTTCTTCACAACGGGCTTTCATAGTTCGTGGTGTGGAGCCAGCTTGGTTATAGTCCCGTTATGCGAGTCTCTGAATTTTGAGGTGCCCGGCCGAGTTTGTGCTTGTGTCCTTGCCTTTCTGTGAGGGCTGTGCCTTTATGCTCGGAGATTTAACCTGCTGTTAGGACTCAAGGGTGTTGCTGGCTGTGGGCTCTCGGTCGTTCTTGGGTGTCTCTACGGGTGTCTCTGTTGTGGTTGCTTGAATGCGGTTCGGGAGCCGGAGTTTCTGCAGTAGTGGCTCTGTATCCTCTGTTGACGTCAGCGTTGCTGTTAAGGTGAGTATCGTCTCGTCAGGTACCTGTTCTGTTGTTGCACCTGGAAGGAGAGGCTGTCTAGTCTGGTGTCAGGTGTTTGTTTCTGGAAGCCTCTTGGCCTCCATCTCCTGTACCCTGTGATGGATCTCCCCTATTTCTGCCTGGGCTGCTTGGAGGTCTTCCTTCCATACCTTCCGGAGGTCGTCAGTAGCCTCCTAATATCCCCTTTTGTTGAGGGCATCTAATCCTCGTCTGTTTGTGACCGGCCAGACTCCGTTCCATCAGGTCTTCCTCCTCCTGGGAGACCTCTGATGGCTCTGGCATCCCTTGCTCCTCTGGCACCATTTTGGTCTGGTGCTGTGCTGCCTGCCTCTCAAAGGAAAGCCAAATATTTCGCTGCCGGGGAAGCTTCCAGGTGTTGAGACTTTTTGTGTTTGCGCCCCATAGTCTGTGTGTGGGGGGTGTCGGTTTGATAGTCGGGATTGCTGGTTTTGTGGCTCTTTTTTCGATTTTTTTTTTTTTCTTCCCGGCTATAACGGAGTTTCGGGGAGACGCATCTGCTTGCAAGCTCTGTAGGCTACGCCCAGCATAACATTTATATTTTAATAGTAAAACATCCCGTTCGACCATTCTTTAGATAGCTCCGATCTGAGCGCACTAAATATACGAATGGCGCTCAGATCATACGAAAGGTGTGTAAAAGTCACGGAATTAAACTCTGTTAGTATGATTTTTGTACGAACGGAGAGGACAACCGACACCTCAGCGGGATTCGTATAAACTAGTAGCCGATTATAGTTCCAGGGGTGCGCTTAGTCCGGCTGAGCATTCGACGACCCAAAAATGGCCGCCGCCTCGTGTTCGGCATACGAACGGCGATCACCTTGGAACAAGTACTTAGAGTGCGGTTAACCGCAGAACCCACAGCTTAATTGGGGACACATGCCAGTGTCTAGGTGGTCGTCGTTCAACAGTTTTTCGTGTGCTGGTTCGGTACCTCATTCGGTAAATTGCACACGAACGGTGACCACCCTGATGAGTCAATTAGGCTGTGGTTAACCACAAACCGCAGCTCCCGGGAGGTTAATTGTCTGCACACTCCTGCGGGCAGGGGGGTCCTTTGTTCGATGGTTCCTTCGGTGATTTCGAGGTCAACAGGGTTAACTAGTGGCACACGCCAAGGGTCGGGTGGTCGGTCATTCGTATATACGAATGGCTTGTAGAATGGGTTTGCATAAAACAAAGTATATCAAAGTACAACAAAAGTAGCTGGATGTATCCGACAGAGGGGATCTGTAACGGACCATTTCAGCAGACAAGGGGTTAAAATCCGTTTAGGCGATAATCCCCTTTCTGAGACAGGCACAGCTACTGTAGAATCTCCAAAACTCACGAATTGGATACAAGTGAATGCACCAAACTCCCGAACTGGATACAAGGGAATAAGGTAGCACTCCAAACTCCCGAACTGGAACCTCACGAATAGCTGCTAGCAGACGAACAGGAAAAGCTCCCAAGCGGCTTACACTCCTGGCAATCAGTCTTTAACAGCATACAGTGAATCCCCCCCAAGAACGAGACAAGGCTCCGTGTTGATGGTCAAGCAGTGGTCTCATTTACTCAGGGCTACCCGCCCAGCATTTATGCAAGTCTCCCACCTGGTGGACACTCCCCTAGGGGACCAGATGGAAGACTGTGACAAAAGACAGACATACACCAATTACAGACATACAGCAGTAAAACATCCCCACAATGCATCCTGATCTCCTCCCTCTATCCTGGAGATAATTGAGAAGTAATTCAATTATCTCCCAGGACAGAGGCAAAACTCCACTTCACACGCGGGGACACAAGACAGCAAACACCTTAAAATACATAGTCACCTTTTACACATAAAACATAGGCATGTCACATATCCCCAGATAGCTGGGATCTGAGCGCATAAAACTACCGAATAGCGCTCAGATTCTGTTCATACAGTTTGTTACGATTGCCCCCGGTCTAGCAGGAGGGTTGATCGCTTGGATGTCCTGGTTCCCGCTGCAGAGAGTCGAACGGAGGTCTTTCGGTAGTAAGCAGTAAATGTAGAATATCCCCAAGCACGAAATAAGCATCAATATCCCGGATCCCTACAACATGAGTCGAGGCTGCAAGTTGAGGGTCAAAACGAACTGGCTTTACTGGCACAAAGCATGGCAATTTATGTGATTCCTCAGGTCCAAGGACAGCCCCCTGTGGACCTGATGGAATACAGGTACAGTACAAACAGGTAACCAATCACAGTACACTGTACCATTTGAATTAGTACCCGCCCAGCTTGGAGATAATGAGGCCAACGGTTTTACAATCTAATTATCTCCAAGCGCACAAAAGACCACGTTTTATTATGTCCCAGAAAACTGCATGAAAATCTATAACTTTTACATTATTACAGGGAAACCACTCATTCTACCATTCATCTGAAGGCTCGCGTTCGTGTATATAAAACATGCGAATGGCGCTCTAATCCCACGAACA